CGCACAGTACAGAATCTTCCAACCACGGCGGTGAATTTATGCTTGGTGTATAAATAAAGATGCACTAATAGTTTAACAATGCAAATATGTCAGTCCATTCTTTACCAAAAAAATATGGGAGATGTACACCCACACTACGAAGCACATTTTGTTTCATGCAATTCATCATCTGATGTCCCTCTAGCTGTGTAATTAAAAAAATATTCAGCTTTATAAAAAGAAAGAAAGAAAAAAAGACAGACAGACAGAAAGAAAGACGGACAGAAAGTAAGAAAAAAAAAAGAAAGGGGGAAAGAGGAAGGAAAGAGAGCAAAAAATTAATATTCACTTCCAACCCTCCCACACACCACACACACCTGCACACACATACATACACACACACACGCGCGCGCGCGCGCATAAACGCACCTACACAAACACACAAACTGACCTGTGCCGGCAATACCACTCTTCTCGAGCCCGTATGTGGGCTCCACGGACTGGCCGTCCTTGCTGGCGTTGAGGACAGTCTTTGTGTGAGCATCCACGATAGAGGGGGGGACCTCGTCCTTCATCTTGGAGAACTCCTCTGCAGGGACAACAGGGAAACACAGGTAACTTTTTCCAACAAACAGGGAAACAGAGGTCACTTTTTTCCAACAAACAGGGAAACAGAGGTCACTTTTTTCCAACAAACAGGGAAACATTTTTTTAAAATTTATAGTAGAGGGTTTTACAGCGCTCGCAACTGCATAAAGTCATATGAGCGCCAAAGAAGTCTTGACAGGGAATCAGACTTATTCTGCTCACCTCTCTAGCTTCAACAGCACAAGGTCTGCTTCGACTATCAAGGCACCCCGGGAATAGCAGGTCACAAGAGAGTGACAAACATACAAAAGAAGTAGAGGAAAATGACAATAGTAAGGATTAAGAAAGAAAAAGCAGCAGTTCCCTGTTGTAGATCAGGCACAGTTATGAGCGTGACATGAATCAGCCCATTTACAATTCTACTGAGCTTGAACCAGAAATGTCCCCCCTTTGGGAATGGCCTAAAGAAACTTCAGTCAGTGGCACCACCCCGGGGGGGGGGGGGGGGGGGGGAGACAGGGAAACAGAGGTAACTTTTTCCAACAAACAGGGAAAAACTGATTACATTTTGAAAAAGAAACATAGTATATTTTCTAATAAACAGGGAAACTGAAAATTCATTTTAGAAAAAAACACGGAAACTGATTTCATTTTGCCATAAACATGGAAACAGATTACATAGCATAACAAACCATTCTTGGGTAAGTGAAAGGTGGAAACATAAATCATAATTTTTTAAAAACAAATGAACATGATACAAATATTTCCCAATTTAGTAACTTTACAATATCATCAATGACTAAAATTATTTTCAGTGACCACTACAATAACTCATTATCAATATCAAATATCTATTGACACTGAATTTGTTTCAAAAGAGTAAGACTCCAAGCACACCAGGCATCAATATTCTAACAAGCACTCTAACTTACTCAACCAGTCATGCCAACTTTCTAAAACTTCAATCACAGAAACCTATAATTATAACATCAGATTACATACCAACAAACAATATTACATCAAGACGGACCGGTTTTGGTTTAGTATATTATTATAATATAATGTCCTCCCATCAAATTCACAGTGGCCAAATTCGTGACAGTCCCGGAAGATCCTGGACAGTTCGCTACCCTAAAATTACAAAGTTCTATCTACCAGTACCTCGTTTTGAATATCTTGGTAACGACTCAAAGTAATCTTACGATTTTGAAAGAGCAGCTAGAACATTTGTGAGGCAGCGTGGTGGAATCAGGCTCTCGTCAATTTTTGGGCATGTAGAGTTATTGGTATTATCTTAAAGCTTGTTCACTTGTTTTTATTTGTATGAAAAAAATATCCAATTTATCTTGAATACAAGTCGAGATATTTGCTAAAGAAGGAGGTGGGGGTCACCTGTTTTCAGAGGTAAAATTAGTGAGAAAATGGCTGCCAAAGATTAGTTATTTCCTTCGCTTAAGAGTCCGTGGTGACTGAAAATTTACATTTTTGTGCCTTTAATCAAGAAATGAGTTCTTTAATGTGCATGAAAAGTGTTGAGCCAAAAAACAAAAATTTGATAAAAATTCACAAACCTGCGGAAAAATGCAAGTTTCTTCACTTTGATTATTTTGACGAGAGCCTGATTCCACCACGCTGCCTCACATTTGGTTTCTGACCTCATAGCCTTACTAAGTCAAAACAGCCAAAAATATCAAGATAGAACTTCGCATTCTACGGTAGCGAGTTGGCACGCCTGCAGAACACCAGGACACTCACCCATGGCAGCTTTAGCGGCCGCACTGGCCACCCGGGGGTCAACGATGGAGGCCAGGAACGCCACGGTGGACATGATGGGGTTGCCCGTCTTGGAGAAGGGCACTGGCTGGTACACCAGGGGACCTGGACACACACACATAAAACAAACAAAAAAACATTAGTTTTAGTTAGAGATTTACACGACACTTGCAACACAATAAGGTCATATAGTGCCGAAGATTAGTTTAGTTTTAGTAAGAGTTGTTTTTGGGCACTCGCAACCCAATAAGGTCATTTTAGTTCCGAAGATTAGAGGTGTTACAAGACAGTAACAAACACAAAAAAGGAGGGGAGATGAAGACGATAGATGTTTGATAATGATAAGAAAGAAGGAGCAAACCATACCAGAGCACCCGCCAACCTTCCATCACAAAAGAGTGTCAGCATGATCAAGACATGAAAAGGAATTTAAACAAAGAGAAGTTGATTACACAACAGCAGCTTTTTCGTGCAGGGAGAAACACCATTTTTTGGGTTTCATTTAGTTGGAAGGAGCTGCTGGTCTTATTTTTCTTTCCCTCTGTTGTATTTGTCTGACTGTCTTGTGCTTTGTAAGAACTGAATGACTGTTATCTTGTTGATGTGCTGCTTCTCTTTACTCAAAATAAATGATCAGAAAAAGAAAACAGAAACACTACAGCACCCTCCAACCATCCAGACATGATAGTTTTCTCATTATCATTCCAGGAAAAAATGACAAACATAAGAGTTATTAGAAAAAGAATGCAACAAAAGAATTTATACACGTACACATATGGAAATAAAACTGAAATAATAAATGTACAATTCAGCATTATCACAAGGACCAACAAATCTCACCCAATATAGCTTTAGTAGAGGTTTTACAACGCTCGCAACTGCATAAGGTCATATGAGCACCAGAAGATTAGAGGTGTAACAAGAGAGTAACCAACATAAAAAAGAAGAAGGGGAGACAAGGAGAATAGATGTTTGACAGGAAAGAAGAAGCAAACCACACCAGAGCATCCGCCAACCACCCACAAATCTCACCCAGATGTCCGTCGTCCTCCTCCATGAACGGGTCCTCGATGGGCAGGCGCAGGAAGTGCAGGATACACTCGTCCTGCGTGCGGCTGCCCACGTGCTCGCACACCTTGTTCCAGTCATCCTTGTAGAGCTCCAGGGCCTCCAGCAGCAGCAGAGTCTCCTGGTCCGACCACTCGCGGCTACGCATGGACGGGTTCTTGTCCTGCACACACATCACACACAGTTTTGTTTTAGTAGAGGTTTTACGGCGCTCGCAACTGCATAAGGCACACAGTTTGAGTAAGAAATGTTTGTTAGAGTAAAGAGAAGCTCATAGACACGGTAATGGTTTATTTGTCTGTTTGAATAAAAAGAAGCACATATTTAGTTTTAGTAAGAGTTTTAAAGCACTTGCAACACAATAAGGTCATATAAGTGCTGAAGATTAGAGCTGTTAGAAGGGAGTAACAAACACAAAAAAGAAGGAGGAGAGATAAAGATGATAGATGTTTGATAGGAAAGAAGGAGCAAACCACACCAGAGCACCCGTCAACCACCCACAGAAGCACATGAACACAATGGCGGTTTGCTTGTTATGAGGAAACAGAAGCCCATCAACATAATAATTTGTTTTGTTTGAGTATGGAAGAAATTTTTTTTAGAAAAGCACTTCCACATGCCCCAACCACTCGCCATTTTGCAAGGAAAAGATTACCATATATACCCATGTACGAGACAGATTTTTACAAAATTTTTCTGTGTCTCTTTTTTCTAATCCCAAGCTAACTAGATCTCGATCGGCCTGTTTAAGACATGCGCCATGTAAAATAAGATTAACCAGTTATCTTAATTCCCCCACTAACAAGGTTTTACAACATGCTCCAACTAAACTAAGATTCTAGTTTCATCTGAAGTCAACCCCTGTCTTGTGCATGTGAAATCAAATTCAGCATCACTTTCAGAGGGCAAAGTGTACTCTCATCTTATCTTAGAGTGTATATAGTACATACACAACACTATAGACACATGAAAAGTAAAAGAAGCAGACCACATCAACCAACAAATTGCAGCTGCAACTTTTCACCTCTCTGCACTACTGTCAACCCCGGCTGAGCAAATAACTGTCAAGACTTTATCCTGCAAACATAACAAGCCTCCCTCTCCCTTCTAGACCTTAACGTCCACAACTTTTCGTATCATCTCTTGCCTTCATAGCTTTGCGTGTGTACATGTCCGTTTTAAGGCCAACGCTTCCGAGCTCTTTCTTGTCCTCGCCTTCCTTTTCCTTATCCTTCTTGTCGCTGAAGTCACAGATTTCTTGGGCAGCAGATGGCTGAAAGGAGAGACAAAGTTGTACATATGTGTCAAGGTACAGTGGAATCAGGCTCTCGTCCGTTATTGGGCATAAGAAGTTCTATTTCTCCTTCATTAGAGAGCAAGATGTTTGATACCACTTTTGTCAGTCAAATTTGTCACACTGTTAATGGACACAGTAAGACATGTCATGGAGATGATGTGTTTCTTACATGCAATCATCAGAGGTGTAGACATAGAAGATAACAGTAGCCCAGTGGTTAGTGAGTCCTGGCTCACAATAATGTCAAGTGTCATTGACACAGCATTTAGGTTAGTCTTCACTAGGATGTGTCTTTGTTCTAGTTTTAGTAGAGGTCTTATGGCGCTCGCAACTGTATAAGGTCATATGAATGGCTGAAGATTAGAGGTGTTATAAGAGAGTAACAAACATAAAAAAGAAGAAGGGGAGATAAGGACGATAGATGTTTTATAGGAAAGAAGGAGCAAACCACAACAGAGCACCCGCCAACCACCCATGATGTGTCTTTGAGCAAGACACAATCACCATAGTTCAAAAACAGGGCACCGCACAGTCACGACCAGAAATAGCAAGATTACTGTGAGTAATAAAATGATATAAAACTACTATATTTCCACATTATAACTATTTAATCATTTTTACACTTAAGCTATAAACTATTTTCTTAATAAGCAGTGAACTGTATGGAAGCAACACTGATGTGTTATTGATTTAAGTGTGATATGAACTATGTTTTAACCAAATCTCCCCACAGGGATCAGTTAAAGTGGAATTTATTTATTCATTTATTTATTCATTTATTTTACTTTATGACTCTGAACAAAGCACGTACCTGGTTGACCCGTGGTGGGTTGATGGATGTGATGCCGGATGGGGTGTCGGCCAGAATGTGGAAGTGTGAGGTGGACGGGGGTCCCATGGGAGTTGGGTGACTGTCCGCATCCACCTGGTAGTTGATCAGACCCCACTGCTCCAGGAACGCGTGCACTCTGACCGGGGGCAAGAATAAACCAAATGATAGAGAACGCTGCCTCGTTGATTTTTTACCTCATCAAAATCTAGACATAACATTGTTTTGTTTTAGTAACAGTTTTACAGCCCTTTTAACAAAAGTCATAAAAGTGCTGATAATTAGAGGTGATCCTACAGAGTTACATATAAAGAAAGGAAGGAATGAAAAGGACAATAGACATTTCATTGAAAAAAAGGAGAAAACCACACCAGAACAATCTCCAACCACCCACACCTAATCAATTATCTTGAAGCAAAAAGCTCTGATCATGAATTTGGAGGGGAGGTGTTGAAATACAAAGTTCCTCGTATGAAGATGGTTTACATTTCAACCACAACCCAGAATCAGGAAAGGGGACCACTCCTCCCCGCAGCCAGCAGATCATTTGCACTTAAGATCTTAATAGACATGCCTACCCATGAATATGACTTAGACGATCATCAAGTGCAAAAATGAGGAACATGGGATGAAAATTAAGTGCAAAATAGCAAATGATGACTGGACTTGCATCATCTGACACTTTTTTTTTTTTTTCAAATTTCCAAACTCCAACAAAACAAAACTTCGCAAGCTTTTAAACAGCACTTCAAACTCACAACTATCAAGTGGACTCCCTCATAGGCACAACAATGGCACAAAATAGAAGAAAAAAAAAAATAGGAAGAGTCTTCCCACTCTTCTTCACTACTAACAATAACACAGGGATGCCACTCAACTTTTTTGAAAATAGCTGAAAATCCACGGGCCAAGGTCTAGCTAACATATGAATATCAATTTGAAACTCAAAGGGTGTACATAGAGAGAAATGACAAACAAACAAAAACAATGGGTGTACATAGAAAGAAATGACAAACATTTTTTTTTAAAAATAGATTAGATGTACTTAACATGACATAATCTTACCTCTCACTTTCATATTTTACGAAAGTTTGTGTGAGGGATTTTTTTATTTTTTTTAAAACTTTCTCTATCTCAATAACGGAATAGCGGACCAGAATCAAAATACCGCAAATACCTAAAAAAGAAAAAAAAGCCGAAAAGTGGCATCCCTGAAACATAACAGCAAGTAGGTCAAAGCATGCGGCACCGACACAAAGTCCTGGACGCCACAACCAAATCTCACCTCATGATACAGCACACATCACCAGCAAGGTTCCTCCTCACTGCGGTGGACGTCAGGTACTCAGTGGGGTTCAGTCGGTATGTGTCGATCATGAAGTTACGGTACGCTACGTATCTGGTGAGAGGGGGGGAATAAAAACATTTTTTTAAATGCTTGACTGACACTGTAAATATAAAAAGATGAGAAGTATTCAGGAAAATTGCTCTTAAAAACTTAGCAAATTTATATCTACTAAAGTCACGAAACTTCAAAGGCCACAAACTACTTCAGACTTCTGACTGGGAAGAGTAGAAAGAAGAGAGAGACTATTTATAGTTGATCGGGAAGATAGGAAAAAAAGGATAGAACATGGGATTTTCTCGTAAAACTCATGAAACACAGAAAACAGCGAGCCAGTCTGTTTTAAGTATAATTCCACCCAGAAGAGAATGAGGGGGGCAGCCTCAGCCAAACTTTAAAGCATAGAGCAAAGCACAGCAAAAGAAGAAGCAAGCATAGCATAAGACAAAGCTATCAACAGCAAAAGAAGAAGCAAGCATAGCATAAGACAAAGCTATCCACAGCAAAAGAAGAAGCAAACCACAGCAATCTAATAGAGCAAAGCACAGCAAAAGAAGAAGCAAGCACAGCATAAGACAAAGCTATCCACAGCAAAAGAAGAAGCAAACTATAGCAATCTAATGGAGCAAAGTACAGAAAAAAAGAAGAAAAAAAAAGCACAGAAAACGAAGAAGCACAGTAGAGCAAAAGAAGGAGGAAA